TTCAACCTCTTATATCGATTGTGAACCGATGCAAGAGGTAGCAAAAGCCTTCCTCAGAACTGGAATCATTTCTAGCCAGGACTTTTTGAATCGATTGTCCAAAAACAACCGGTGCCATTTTCTGAAGAAGGCTTTTTGAATCGATTGTCCAAAAATACCCCGAAAGAAACTCGATAAGACTCCTTACGAGTTGTGGTATAATAGGAAACTTTCCTATAAATACCTGAAAGTGTGGGGGTGCCTTGCAAAAGTGTTAGCACCACCACCAAAGAAAATAGAGATTGGTCCAAAGACCGTTGATGGAATCTTTATTGGCTACAGTGGTAGAGCGTATCGATTCTTAGTGTATAGGTCTAATAATGCAGAAATACATAAGAACACGTGCAAAGAGTAACATGTATAATGGTAAGTCTAGACATATTCGTCGTAGACACAAAACTATTAGACAACTTCTCACAACTGGGATTATCACAATTGACTATGTGAAGTCAAAAGATAATCTGGCGGATCCGCTAACCAAAGGGTTAACAAATGAGTTGCATGAGAAGTTGGTGGCAGAAATGAGTTTGAAGCCCTTGTGCTAGAACAGTCCTATTAAGGAAAACCCAACCTGACTGGTACCCAAGTTCAATGGGACAACCTACTTGTAGGATTAAGCGTGGTCACTGGGGGCGGTACCGGAACCTCCGGTCAGTCCCTTCTGTTCCTGTTGAAGACAGTGACTCTCTAAAATGATGAGGTTAGCATATAAATATGCTTTAATGATTCTTAACCAATAGACACAGTGGTCTAAGGGGAGTAATTAGGATACTCTTAAAGAATCACCTATGTAAGAGTGAAGTGTGGTCGCTTCAAGCGGATGATCTTGGGCTTAATCCTCTAAACACTCTCGTAGAACCAGGCGCGTGTCCCACGACCAAAATGGGCACAACCATGAGAACAGAACGGCGTTTGGTTGGAATCTGTGTATTGTATACTATCGTTTACACAAGTGGCAGTACAGTTCAAAGACATTGCGTTCTACTGAACAGCCAATAAAGAAGGTATACTTTACAAGGGACATGTTCAAAAGTGGAGACACTTACATGTTCTTTGAAGGTTTTCAACCGTGGGATGTTGTCGACTCCCAAATCAATTTTTTATTCATGTGGGGGATTGTTGGAATTTTTGGCATTTTTAATAGGCATTAAATGGACCAACTTGGGTATATCTGTCAATAGGTCCACTAACGGTTTTAACCGTTAATTAATGGATGTGCGTTCTCTTAAATGAGATAAATGTTTTGATAATTTATACGCCAAAAATGGTAGAGGGTGAATGAGAAATTGATTCTCAGAGTTAACCCGTCAATAGAAGAATATGGTAAGGGTTGCATTTTTTGCAATTTTACTGAACCAATCTTCTATTATTAATTTTACGTAATGTTTAAAATTAGTCCATTTTTACGGAGTTAACTGTCCATTAATCTCCAACTATACGGGACAAATTTTAAATGGAGCGTAGCGTAACGGACATGTTAATGGCTAATTAATCACAATTAACACGTCATTAGTGTGCCACAAATGCCATGGATTAATGGTGTAGGAGTTACACTTTTTAAAATTCCCTTGTTATAAAAACAAATCAAGGGAGACTCTCCATCATGGGTGGTTTCATGCGTGAGGAAGAAAAAAAGGAAAATACTTTCTTACTTAGTTTTTTTCCGAGAGAGCTCTTGATTTTCCAGCCGAATTTCTGGCAATCCCCTTCAAAGTTTTTTTGGTCACCAACGTTCCTACGTAGCGGTCCGTACAATCTCCACACACGATAGCGGTTTTATCTTGGGAGGAGAGTGCCCACGTTTTTCCGGTACGGTAGGCTGGCACTACTACCTTAAGGACAGCTCTGGCGACTCCGCTGTCCTTCCACGGTGTTTTTTTTTGCAGATTTAGTTCATAAAGACCTCGCTGCATTCTGCCCTAGGACATAATGTCCTTGTTGTCCAGTGCATAATGTCCTCACAACCCAGTGCATAACGTTCTCGCTGTCGAGTGCATAATGTTCTTGCTGTCCAGTGCTTAATGTCCTCATACAACAAGGCTTTTTGAAGATATAAAATTTTATTTTCAATTCTGTTTATCTTGTAATATTCCGAATAAGTTAAAAATTCAGAATTTTATTTAATTTTATTTTCCAGGGCCGTTCATATTCCGCGTTCGTTGTAATCCGTACAAAAGTTGTAATACAACTCTCTAGAGTCACCCTAAATTCTTCAAGGACACAAACAACATGCATCTTTTAAGGGGGGGGGGGGGGTGAACGGTTCTACATTTAATTTTCAAAATGTTAAAAAAATAGTTTATGTTCAAGCAAAACATGAACATATTTAATATAAAAGTGAATATGTATATATTCGTTTCTTTTTGCAAATGTAATGCTCAGCCCCATTCTTTAAAAACAACACAATCACAAAGGAGTGATTGTATTATATGTTGAAGACATTTTAGAGTAAGTAGTGTGGATACATTGCATGATAAGAGAAGGCAATGCTAAAAAAAAGTGTGCTAAACAAACCTTTGTTAAAGTAAATCTAGTGCACAATTATTATGACAATACAATTGTCAATTCATCTTAATGTAATGCCTTTCTAGGACAATGCATTTAAGAGCTGGTCCTTTAACAGAATTGTGTTGATAAGGTCATTGAGAATAAGAATTATTGTCTAAAACAGGATTACATGCGTAAGAGATTGTGTATAATGGCAATAACCACTAAGAACTGATCACTATAATATTGGAAAAGATGTACCTTATGTATATTATTTTTTATAGTTAAATAAAGCATTCGCAATCTATATTTCAAACACTCGGATGAGAAACTCATGGAGCCTGACAATTTTTACTGCAATGTTGCGGAAGAACCAAACAAATCACCAATGGTACCCAAATGGCCAAATCCATTTGTTGAGTTGCAGAGCTTTGATCATGCTTTGCCAGTGTGCTATGATGAAAAAGATCATATAGTTAAACTAAGTAATCGATTGAACTCAATCTTTAAATGTGGTTCAACATAAGTGTTTTATAGCTCAGTCCAGTAGTCTCTATCTTATCTTAAATTCATCATTTGAAAGTTGGTATCATTCTTTTTGGCGAAGAGTACTTTAATAGTATGTGTTGGGTTCAAGGATTTTGGGAGGGCAATCAAAAGAGAATGGTAAGGAAAATCAGTTTTGGTGTTTTGTTTAAAAAGGAAAATAAAAGAAAGATTGGAAGGGAAAGAAAATGTAAGGAAAAAACAATGAAAATTTGTGATCCCCATGTTGCACATCCTCATCTTTGCCCAATGTGTGGAGCTAACTCAGCCAAGTGAGCCATCCTACCTGTGGGTGAACAATATGGAGATGCAATATATGGAGGAATGGACCAGTCCAGATTAGGTAATTGAATCTATTTTCACAAGACCGAAACCGAATAAGAGAGACTTGAGGACCAGGGATTGGATTGGAACGGGACTAGTCTGGTCGGTTTTGACTGAGTCTCGACTCAATTCTGGTTCGGATTGAATAATGTACCCCACCTACTTATATTTGGGTGGTAATGGTCAAATAACACCAGTGGTTTTGAAATAAATACTAATACCTCTCGTATTTTCAAAACTTATTTTTAAAGTCTTTGTAGTTTCAAAATGTTATACTCATATCCTCTTTGATCATTTTCTGGTCATTTTTACGGCGTAGAAGGGAGCATTGATGCATATTTTCCAAACCATAGAGGGCATCAGTGTTCATTTCTTATTTTTAATTTATGTTTGTGTTTTCCCATTTTTTCTTTTACTAATCAAGGTTTTTAAATTTGTTTTTAAAATTGTTATTATAATGTATTTAAAATGGTTTTTGTTTGAAAAATTATTAACATATACTACATCTATACGTCTCAAATTAACTATTTCTCTTTTTTGTTTTTCCAAGTAAAAAACTAAAATCTTTTTTTAAAATTTTCAAAAAAGGAATTAAATAAGAAATAAAATAAAACAAAAATAAAAAAATGAATACCCTTTTTTGGACATTGTAATTCTCAGTCTTTTAGGCGTTTTGAATTTTTTTGTATAAGACTCTTTTATGTGTTTCTTTTTTTTCTATTTCATTTTTTCATATTTTTATTTTTTTATTTTCTTTTTTAATTTCTAAAAATAAAGTAAAAAAGGTTAAAATATTTAATTTGAGATATATTGAACATATGTTAATTTTTTTTTATTTCAAACACAAAGAGTTTTGAACTTTTAAAAATATCATAAAAATTTAAAAGAAAATTTTAAAAAAATCTTTCGAAAAGGAAACAAAGAGATAAAAAAGTTAAAAGAGATGGAAAAAAATAAAGTAATAAACAAAAAAAAAAAAAGGGCATGTGTGCCCCCTATGGTTTAGAAAATAGGTACTAATATTCTCTCTTTCTTGGAAAATGACTGAAAAATAGTCAAATGAGGTGTGGTTGCAGCGTTTTGAAATCCCGAGAACTTTAGAAATAAGTTTTAAAAATATATGAGTATTGGTGTCAATTTTTCAAACTATTGGGATCACTGAAGCTATTTGGCCGGTGATCTTATATGCAATTGTCCATATGCAATTGTAAAATTATCTTATATTGTCCATCAATGTTTTACAAAATTATGAAGAATTCCAACCCTTAAGAGTAATGTGCATATTTTAAATATACTCTTTCCGTCCCATAAATTTTCCTTTTTGTTTTGATTTTTCTGGTCAATCGATACTTTTTTATTATAAATTAAACTTAATTTGAATAAATAAATGTTATAAAAATTTGGTATATTAAAACTATAGATAATTTAATTATATTAAATTTATATTAAAACTAAATATACTTTTTTTAACAATTAATAATAAAAAAATTGTTAGTGTTTAAGTAAAAACGTCAAAACAAGAAATATTTTTTAGGATGGATGAAATATTAATTATACAATACCACGAGTTTTGGAAACCAATAGCACATCTTGCGTTCGATGAGTAATCCACTCCTCATTCATTAAACATCATACCACATTCCTCCAATATACAACTTCACATTTGCATTATTTGAAATTCAAAAAAAAAAAGATTACAATTCTACTTTTTTCTTCAAAAGAAGAATATATATAACGTACAAAACTCTACTCTTTCAAATGTGAAGTTCTTTTTTTTGGGAGGAAGAAAATCTATATATACATACATACACACATCTTATACTATTTACTTTCGAGATATATATTTGTACCGCCTAGCCCAAAACAAGTAGTGCACGAAGTTTACTATACTAAGTCCGAACATGAGCCAATAGAATCTTTCCAACCGATAATGGTTCAAATTTTCCCCGGAGAGCCACGGCCGGTGGCCGGACTTCCCCGTCACGCTATTCACCACCGACACGATCACGGTGCTGAGATAGTACCCCATCGCCAGCGACGCCCACGAGAGCGACGTGGCTAGCGATCTCATGCTGGCAGGCGCTTGGGAGAAGAAAAACTCCATCAGGCCCGCCAGCGTGAAGAGGTCTGCCGACCCGAGGAAGAGGTATTGGAACGCGATCCAGAAGAACGTCACGGGCAACGGTCCGGTCGAGTCGAGTAAACCGGACCGGATTGCGACGTTCCTTCGCTTGACCTCCACTAACGCGGCGACGCCCATTGCTATAATGGAAAGAACCAAACCGACCCCGACCCGCTGGAGGTGCGAAATGCCCATCTCCGTGCGGGTCAGGCGGCGGGCGAAGGGGACGATGAGGTGGTCGTAGGTCGGCGCGAGGACCATCATGAAGAGGACGGGGAAAACCGGGAGGGAGGCGGGGGGGACTTTGAGGGACCCGAGGTGGGTGTCCATCGTCGCCGCCTGTTGGACGGAGAATGTGGAGAGCTGAGCGAGGCAGCAGTTGAGCATGATGGTGCAGCCGAAGATGGGGAGGATTTTCACCACCGTCTTGACGTCTTCCACTTGCTCGACGGTGCAATTGAGCAGCGGAGGCGACTTGCCGGAGACGGCCCTGTTTAGGAATTTTAGGCTGTCCGACGGTTGCGCGCCCGTGGTTGAGCCGCCGCCGCCTCCGTCTTCCTTGGTGGTGGGAATGAGAGGAGATGGGCTTGTGGCCATGCTCACGACGGCGTTGCTTCTTGGGGTTTTTGGAACTGGTGAGTTTAGTATTGCGGCAACAAAAACCTGTAAATGCCCACAAATGTGTCAAATTGATGGCCATAAAAAATGAAAAAATGATAGGATTTTTTCAAATGGTTACTATCACGAGTGTACTCATAATTCCCACTGCTTCATCAGTGAGGATGCACTCCTGATATCAATCATTTGTCTTTTTCGAGTCTTGTACGTGAAAATTTAATTTTTTTAAATCGAGTGGCGCCGAGTTTTGCATATGTGACCTCTTAGTCAACAAAGATCCGATACCATATCAAGAAACCAACTCAACCAAAAACTCATGCTTTTGATTGTGACCCTGGAAAGTTTACCTAGAGCATTTATGTTCTAGGAAACCCTAGCATTAAGCTAAAAAAATACTCCCTCCGTCCCAAATTATTTGCCACATTTGCTTTTTCAACAGTCGCGAGAACTTTTGTTTATTTCTACATTTTTATTGGTTATTTGATAAAATAAAATATTCTTGACACCTCTTATTTTGAAGAACTTTTCATGTAGTTTTTTGATATGTAATTTTTATTTTTTATTTCTTTACCAATATGTAAATAAAATGAATTGAAAAAACTTGATATTTTGCCTCGGTAATAGAAATGTGACAAATAATTTGGGACGGAGGGAGTATGGAAGTTAAAATTTGTGTAGGGTATATTAACCTTAAAAATGGTGGTGATGGGACTTCCAAGGGGCACCTTGTTCCTATAAAACATGGAGCCAGAAAGAAAGACAGGAACCGACAAAAGTATGGTGACGAGAGCGATCCCAAAGCCCCATTGCCACCCTTTGTGATCCTCGATCCAAACCACCAGCGTCACGGCGGCGAGGGCGCCGCAAGAGAGGCAGAACACGAAGTAGTTGAAGAAAGTCGACCGCCGCTTCCTCCCCTCGGCCGTCTCGTCGTCGAACTGCTCCGCCCCGTGCGGCGGCAGAGACCCCTTTATGCCCCCCACGCCCAGGGCCACTAGATACAGGCCCACGAATAGCATTGCCGCTTGCGGGCCGTTGACTTCCTCGCATGGGCCGGTGGGCCCACCTGGCGTGCATGGACCTGGCTTCAGCGTGTCAGAACGGGCTTGGACCGTTAGTATTACCAAACCCTGCAATTTTAGGGCTCAGATTTTATCAAACTTGAAGAAGAAGAAGAAGAAAAAACAAACCATCCAAAATTTTACGAATAATTTTTACATTTGAGTTCATTTAAAGTTAAACATAAATAAAATTTCTAGACAACGAAAGAAGCAAATCAATGAAAATGCTCTCCAAGAATATTTGGTAATTTTGATTTTTTTTTGCGTGAAACTAAATAATCTTTCATTCCAAATTGAGTATACAGATTTTCAATATTTAATAAACATCAAATGAGAGGTTGTAGATTTAATTTTTCTCTACATTCATTATAAGTCTAATAATCTAACCTATCGAAAAAGTTTTAATATATAATTATTTTAAAATGGAGGGAAACAAATTCAAATAATAAATTATATCAAAATTTGCAATCTTAAAATAATTTAGAAATTTTATCCGAGAACAACTTTGCATCCACTCTTCTCATTCGTCCTAAAATGATTTACATCCTTACTATTGAGATTTCTCGATAACTTTTGTATGTTTGTTTATTTAAATAAATATTTGATAAAATAAAGTATTTATGTCACATCTTTGTCTTTTACTACAGAAATTTGTAAATAAAATACTTTTAAATTTTCAAAATTTTACACATCATTGCGAGTATGAAATACTACCTCCGTCTTAAAGTATTTGTCAACTTTTAACTTTTTTCGGTCAAAATTGGTAAAATTTGACGCCAAATTAAATAAAATTATATTAGATATTGATATAAAAAATAATTTTATTAGATTTATTATATGAAACATGTTCAGAATATTATTTTATCTAATTAATATATAATATATGTATTATTTAATTATAGTTCAAAAATTGGAAACAATTAATTGAAAAAAAAGAAAACTACTACCTCCGTCCCGTGAAACATGTGACATTTGCTTTTTAAGAGGGACTTAAGGGAGTGTATTTTGGTATTGAATTTCCAAAAATGTCCTTTGATGTGATGGGTAAAAGTATGATTTGATGGATAGATTATTAGTAAAAAGGTATGATGTGATAGTTAGGGTATGAAAGAGTAAGGGATAAAAGTGACTTTTTAATAGAAATGAGAAGTGTTTTGTGGGACGGATAAAAAAAGAAAGGGGAAATGTTTCACGGGACGGAGGTAGTAGATAAATATTTTAAGACGGAAATAGTAACACAGAGAAAGTAATTAAATACAACTAGTCCACTACCCATATTTTATGGGGAAATGCTTGGTTCACAAACTCAAGCTTCACAAACTTCACAAACTTACCATTTGTGAACTTCAATAAAGAAAATTAAATAGTCTAAAATAATTTTAAAATGAGAATTTAAACCATAAATAGTAAATTTGTGAAGTTTGTGATCCTTCTGTTTGTGAACGTAGCATTGCCCTATTTTATGTCACGAAACATAATGTATGAGATCCCATTAATTACACCTACCAATATGAATGAGCAATCATTACAGTGGACATAACGTAACGAGCAATAACTCCAACTGTTGTGACTCTTTTGGAAAAAACGTATACTCCGTATATATGATTCACCCTTCCTAACCATGACATTGGGAACCAATGTCATGGGATGACATTGGTTCGCTCCGATGCTCCATTCGTAAAATTGACGGTTCATATCCCTCTTAATCTTGCCGGTAAATCCCTTCACCCCGTCCCGACCCGAACACATCCCCCACCTCCTTCAATTGCACCCCACAAGTCGATTTTGATTTTGGAGTCAAAAATTTGATTCCAAATACAAAACCGACTTGTGGGTTGCAATTGAAGGAGGTGGGGGGTATGTTCGGGTCGGGATGGGATGAGGGTTTACCGGGGGTTAGGGGGGTAGGAACTGTCAATTTTACGAACGGGGCACCGGAGCGCCTCCGGATCATCCTATGACATTAGTTTCCCAATGTCATGGGAACCTTCCCCGATTCCCCCTTGGTTCCCATGACATTGGGAACCAATGTTATGAGATGACCTGGGAGTGCTCCGGTGCCTCGTTCATAAAATTGAGGGTTTCTACATATGATTCATTTTACTTTTGAATTTTCTAAATATCCTTTATTTGATTTACAAAAAATCTTATTCAAAAAATTACTCACCCGTCGCATAATTATTCTCACATTTTTCCATTTGAGTTGATCTTGAATTTTCTTTCATGTTTTTTAAGGAAAAGATTATGGAGCTTATTATTTCTCTTCTTCTGCAAAAGCCATTATCACATACTCCCTCTGTTCTTGAAAAATGGAAGATTTTGAATTTTAGAGTCCGTTTGATATAAGGAATTGACGGAATTAGAATTGAAATAAAATTGAAATTTCATGGGATTCATTTCCATAGAATTGAATTCTCCCAAATCTAATTCATTTTTTGCAATATCAATTCCAAACCCACATAATTTTTGTGTTACCAAACACCAGAATTGGAATTGAAGTTCTCAATTCCAATTCCATAGTTTGAATTCCATGTACCAAACGGGGCCTTTAAGAATTTCAGAGAAATGCATCTTGGTGTTGAGTTTCGAAAATGGTATTAGATGTGATAAGTAAAAAGTAAAATTTGACGAATAGATTAATAGTGAATAGATGTTATGTGATAGGTAGGTTATGAATTAATATGGATAAAAGTGACTTTTTAATAAAAATAAAAAAAGTTTTTTGAGACAGACAAAAAAAGAAAGAAGAAACGTTTTCATGGATTGTTGGATGAAATAATATATTTTTGTCAATTCTTGCATTGATTTTTATTGTAATTTTTAAATATATAAAATTTATGAATGTATGTAGGAAGAAATATTAGTTTGCATAATTAATCAAATTGGTTTACAAAAGCATTTAATGAGCGTGGCATGTAGGATCGCATATTTTCTAATTATTACTCCCTCGGTCCCTTTAATTCCTCCCTTTTCTTTTTGTTTCTTGTCCCACTAACTCTTTTTTATCTATTTTAAAACTACTTTTATCCTTTATTGTTTTATACCCTACTTATCATATCATATTTTTTTATTAATAATCTATCCATTGCATCTTACTTTTACTCATCACATCAAGAATATTTTTGGAAAATAAACACCAAAATATCTATCTCTTAGTTTTCCAAAAAGTCAATAAGGGAAGGACTTTAAGAGAGGAAGAGAAGTATTAAACACTTTTTCTTAAAATTCATAAAATGAATCTAAAAGTTACTCCCTCCGTTCCACAAAATCCTTCCGGTTTTGACTTTGGGGAAAAACAATGAAAGTGTAATTTTGGTTGATTTTCCAATTTTGCCCCTGATTTGATGGGAAAAAGTAAGAAGTGATAGTTTGGTTATTAGTGAAAAAGTATAATGTGCTAGGTAGGGTATGAAAAGGTAAGGGTAAAAATGATTTTTTTAAATAGAAAGTGGAAGTGTTTTGTGGAAAAGAAAAAAAACGAAAAAGGGAGGATTTTGTGAAACGGATTAAAGTACATTATTATTATTATTAGCTACTTTCGTTAGGTAGGAAGGATCGGAGTATTAATTAAGAAATCTCAAAATTTTACCATGGAAGGAAAAGAGTGAAAAATGTACTCAACCGACGACATATCCAAATGAATAGGATCTATTTTAAGTGCGTGAGATTATTATTACTATGGCTTTAAAGTCAAAATGCATTATATTATTTCTTTTATTTGCAACTTGCTAATGGCGTTTTTTTTAATATTAAATGACGGGGTAAATTACTCAGTCAACCTTAACATTATTAATGCATCACTGACAAAAACCTTTTACTAATAATAATAATTATTGGTTATGCGAAAATTTAATGATAAATAATCTAATGATGATGTAGAACTTAATGTTATTGAATTGTTACGTAATAGTATTATTATTATTATTGTTGTTGTTGTTGTGATTGGTTTTACTAATCCCGTGACCCATTTTCAGTTACTGGTTTGTGAGGCAAATATGTAGGTCCACATTAAACAACTTTGGGTTCTATATAGAATTGAGTGGGGGATAGTAATAATAAAGTCCAGACACACACATATATATCAAATCAACCAAATTCAGGTAACAAAAAATGATTTAATGTGGCAAGTACACCAATTTCAACTAAACATTATTATTCATAAATTACAACTTAGGGATTGTTTGACAACTTCTGAATAGGTAAGTGCTGAACCAGTAAGAGGTCTGAACCATTAAGTGTTGAACCAGTAAGAGGTCTAAACCATTAAAAGCTAGTATATTGCTTAACTATTCAGAGGCAAATGTCTGATCAATTCAGATAAGAGGTCTTAATCATTCAGACTCTGTATAATACTTAACCATTTAGAGGCAAATGTCTTAACCATTCAGACATCTGCTCACGAAACAAACAGTCTGAACCATTAAGTGTTGAACCGTTCAGACATCTGAATTATTAAGAAGCTGAAACAAACAGCCCCTTATTCATTTTGTTTTGAACTGTGGTCCACCATATTCTTGTGCAACAATTTGCATCACATAAATACATAATATTGTCTTCATTATGGAGTATTATATTTTGTCTAAGCAAATCTTCTTGAATGGCCCAAATTTTTTTGTTTTTATGTTGGTTCACGTCTTGATGATTATAAAATTCTAGTAATAAGGTAGTTAATGTTGGTTTATGGTTAGAGCAATTTATCTAAATAGACTAAAACATAATGACTTTCTCAATATAGGACCATATATTTTTATTTCTCTATGTAGGACCTTTGGTCATTATATATTAGTCATTATTCAACTAAATGTCCACCATCACTTGCACATTATTCTTCTCACTAGTCATTATTAAGTCCTATTTAGGTAATAAAAAAGTTTAAGTCTTACATTAGAAAATGACTTATGTTTTAATTCTATTTAGTGCAAATTTCACTTATGGTTATGCTACAATAAAATTTAAAATATGCAAAAAATATTGGAATTTTTATAACTTTTTAACGATATAAACTAACTTTAAACACAAAAGAAACTAACTTTGACACTTGTATAACATAATCTTTTCAAATACTAAGTTTAAACGCTGAAGTTGTCATACAACCTCGAAATTTGAAGTAAAGCTTATGGGTTTATTTGAGGATAATTTCAGATATTAGCGTTAGGGTTTTAAAAAGGTTATTTACGAACAACACTTAACACTAACATTTTCAAAATAATCTGCACTATTAAATTTTTTATCCCAAACGCTTATGCTTATTTCTAATATTATTTTCAAACAGGCCCTATATTAAAATAGGAACTCGAAATTTGGAGTATAACTTAAATAAGAGTGTTAGCAAAATCTAGCTAAAGTGAGTATTTATTTATTTACTCCGTATTTATTTATGGACACAAACGTCATCCTTGTAACTCTTTGAGTTGGACTCGAACATCATTCTTAAAAAAGTACTAACTTATTAATTATTCGCACTATATTCTTTTTATTAATTAGTCATTTCATATAGAAGAATCAAATTCAAACGGCGACCTATCCAAACGTTAAAATAAAAGTATTCTCCATTATATTTACTCCCTTCGTTTCTAAATATTTATCCATGACTTTTTTTATTAAAATTGGTAAAATTTGATCCGAAATTAAATTAAAATAATATAACTTGTTAAAAAAATAGGTTTTATTAGATTTATACTATCAAATATTTTCAAAATAATATTTCATCTAATTAATAAACAATATATATTTTATTTAATGATAAGTCAAAAGTCGGAAAAAAGGTCAAATCCTGGAAACGCATGCTAGTAATGCAACACATTTTTATTTATATTTAAAAAAAAGAATCAATTTTTTGTACAAACCAAATACATATTGTGATTCTGAACACACAACCTTCGACAAGTTGGGACAACCCGACAAGACTATTTTTGTCGATCCCAGTTGCTAATTATACTTAATCTGTTCTTTAATTAATATATGTACTAATTAAATCTCATTTTATTTTAATCAGAACTGTAACATGAAATATAAATGCACCCCGGCTGCTAGCTATTAACTTCAACTCAACTGAGTTAACTTCAAATCATTTTTGCCCAGCTACTATATTAATGGTAATTTTGTTTTTCTAAGCAACATTAAATGTTTGATTATTAATAGTAGGCCGTTAAAAACTCAATTACTTCCACTGTCCTATAAAGATTATGTTCTCAATTTGAATTTTAGAAAATTTAAGTGAGGAATATTTTTGTGTTGATTTTCTAAAAAAATTCTTGATGTGATGGGTAAAATTAAGATGTGATGAGTAGATTACTAGTTAAAAGGTATGATGTGATAAGTAGTTTAAGAATTAGTAGAGGTGAAAGTGATTTTTTTTAATTAAAAAAATAAAAAAATTATACTCCTTTTAATTAAAATAAGTAATTACAAGAATAGAACATATTAAAGAAAAATTGAAATTTATACATGAACAAGTTTTTGGGACAAAAAAATGTCTCAACAATTAAGGAAATTATACTCCTTTTCATCCTAAAAACTTTTCCCCTTTTGATATTTTTTATTATTAAGTAGTGACATTCTTTGATCATAAATTGTGATAACATGAAAAGAAATTAAAAAGAAGAGTAAATGAAATGAAAAAGAAAAAGGGTGGGTGTACCAGGAACTGGACGAGGGCGCTGACAACGTAAATGTGATAAGTGGTGAAAAAGGCGTCCGACAAAAAGCCGCCGAGGAGGGCGAGGAAGAAGGCCGTCCCCATGAAATTCGTGACGGCGTTTGCCGACTTCGACACCGGCAAATGCATGTAACCCGTCATGTACCTCACCAGGTTGCTCGCATTCGCCAGGAACGCCAAGTTCTCCAAAACCTCCACCACTATTATTATTGCATTTTTTTAAAATAAAAAAAATATAAACAAAAACAAAAACCTCTCGTTATTCTCTAAACGGGAGGTCGCGGGTTCGACTCCCAGTAGTCAAGTGTTTCGAGAGACGGAGAAAGTGTTGTAGTAAAATGTAGATTACCTAAGACAAAGGACGCTGCGGCCATGCCGCCGTGTTTGCCCCTGAGGGCAGGGCGATTTCTCCAGTCCACATACCCTTCCCACGTCGTCGTCGTCGTCGTCCCGTGATTTCCCACCTCCTGCAAATCATTTTTGTTAAAAAAAGTATTAAATTAATTTAAATTTTTTTTTTAAAAAAAAAGTAAAATGAAAGATGTATGGAGTGATGAGGAATTAGAAGAGCACACCATTTTTTGCCCGGAAGGAGTTAGTAAACGGTGGGGAATGAATGAGGGGAGAGATTATTTAAAGGGATTTCTTTATGATGGAGAAGGGGCCAAATTTTAGGGGATGGTCTATAGCCTTAGACACTTTATATTGTAACATTTCATGCTATTTTTTTTTAAATATGTTGACAATGTTAACATTCTTATTTTTATTTTGGTAATAATAATAAAACTAGAAATTCTATTTATTAAATACTTTTTCGGTATTTTACTCATACACCATTCTTTTTAGCTTCTACTTCTCATTAGAATATCAACAATGACAAGTATTAAAATGAAACGCGACACGTTGACGTGTCACATTTCAATCAATAAAAAATAATTCATTCAGCGTGTGGTAAGTGAATGGAGTGGCATGTCTTGCAATGACAATTGGCAGGTCATTATATTGATTTTATCATTTTTACACTTTTTGACATATTTCAATTATTAAAAAAATATTTTTCTTATCTTTTTTTAAAAAATATTTCTACTTCTTTAATAACATATTGTATTTTATGAAAATACCAAAAAAAGAAGGAGAGAGAAGCAATTGACTAGCGTTAAATTTAAAGCTATTCCTAAATGTTACTCCCTCCGTCCCAAAAAGATTTACATCTTTCAAAAAAATTGTGTCCCACAATCTCCTACACATTTCTATTAAAAAACACTTTTACCCCTTACTTTTTCAAACTCTACCTATCACATCATACCTTTTTTCTTATAATCTACACATCGCATCCTACTTTTACACATCAAATCAAGGTTATTTTTGGAAAGTCAACACAAAATTATTCCTCCTTTAATTTCCACTTTAGTCAAAATGTGTAAAACTTTTTGGGACGGAGGAAGTATTAATCTTTTAAGCTATTCCTAAACAACCCCTATGTCTCAATTAAATGTTAATTTGGTGTGAGAAAAATGTATGAGTAGGGAAAAAAATATACTGTAGTAGGTACCATTCTATAAAATACAAAAGAGTGAGGGAGTGGGTGAATAATTAAAGAGCATCTAAATAAGTCTATATATGTTGTTTGACCTTGACCCAAAACTCAGCATAAATGCCAAAGCAGACTGTTAATTCATGCATCCCACATTCCCAACTACAACTTTTTTTTTACTCCCTCCCCTAAAAAGAACATCATTGTTTACTAATCAAAAATTACATTTTTTAAAAAAATTTATTTATGCTTTTTCTTATAGATTTTTGATTAAATAAAATATTCTTATACCTTCTTACGGGCGGGCAGTATTTAGTTATTTTTTTCATTTACAACGTACGTGTGCTTGTAGAGTCCTTTAATTTCTTTTTGCGCCGTGGATAAAAACACGACTGTAAGGAAAATAAAGTGTCCAAATTTAAATAAAATAAGAAAAATAAAGTGTCTAAAAAGTCATCAGATTTGTCTTGATTTATGGGATGAAAAATAATTAAATAAGGGATTAAGGCTAATCAGAACATGGGCAAAGAATATGACACGAACACCCCATGTTCATACATTAGACGGAGTACATGACACAGCTAGTGACAAATACCGAGTGAGAGTCTGTTTGTTTCAGCTTTTTAATGGTTCAGATGTCTGAATGGTTCAGCACTTAATGATTCAGACTGTTTGTTTCAGCCTCTTAATGGTGCAGATGTCTGAATGGTTCAGACATTTGCCTTTGAATGGTTAAGTATTATACAGAGTCTGAATGGTTAAGACCTCTTATCTGAAATGATCAGACATTTGCCTCTGAATAGTTAAGCAATATACTAGCTCTTAATGGTTCAGACTTCTTACTGGTTAAACAATATTATAGCCACACATTTTGTGGGGGTGCAGGGGCGGGGTAGGGTGGGGGGTTTAGGGGGTGGGTTAGGGGGAGTAGGAACCGTCAATTTTGCGAACGGAGCACCGGAGGTGTCCCAAAATGCCAGTGGCACCGTACTCCGGTGTCACTAGAACCCCACCGATTGTAAAATATGCACTACATACAATGTAATGTTGCCTTTTCAACATTCCAATGGATAGGATAAACCAAGTGGTAAAATGCAATGTAGTGTAAAAAGCAATCTCCAAAGTGTATTTTTACAAGTTCACTATAGATAGTGGAAAGAATAAAAAATTAATTTTCTTCATTTTTTTCCTTCCCTCTTCTCCATTTTCATATGTACAAGGTATTTATTACGTCTTTTTTAAAAAATCATTAAAAATAAGTAACTTAAAACAATAAAATATTATAAAAAGTGTATTATATAGAAGATATGGTTGAAGTAAGTATAAAAAAATGGAAATGTAAAATACTATTGATAGTGTAAAATGAAACTTACACTACCAATTTTTACATTACACCTTGGAGATGCTCTAATAGAGCATTAATTTTTTATGATCAAAATTAATAAATTTTGATTATTAATCAAATAAAATTTGTATCAAATCCTGATTAATTTCTAAAAGTCAAAATTGAACAAACACTCTAAAACGGACGAGTACAAAATATATGCTTCGCACCACATATATGATTTGTTTAAATAACATAATCATATACTCCCTCCGTCCTAAAATTAACTTCCCAGTTTGATTTTTGTAGTCAAACTTTGTAAACTTTGACCGTATATTACAGAAAAAAATACATTGAATTGTCATATAAATTTATTACCAATAGATTCATTTTGAAACATAGTTTTGAAATATATAATTTTTATAAAATATATTTCTATAAAAATTGAAATATTGATGGTCAAAGTGTCACATTAGGGACCATGAAAAGTCAAATGGGAAGTTAATTCTGGGTAGAAGCTTTTGCATCGGTTATATGATCGTGCAATAATCTAGTAATTTCACATGTAAATAATAATTACAATTATAACAAATAATTATAATTTACAATAGTAATTTATTCGTACGTAGTGCTTGAAATACCTCAAGAAAACAATGATGATGGTCTGATCGACCTCCTCCCATCGCATGAACTCACGTATATTCTCCGGACGCATCCTCAACTCCGTCTCCTCCGGATAGAGCATAGACTCGGGATCGAGATTGACGTTGATGGTAGGCAAATCTGATGTGCGTGTCAGCCACTGACACAACTCCCTGCACCTTGATTCAAATAACCTTTTGGATCGGTTATTAGAAGTAACCTATCCAAAAGCTAAGCGGTACGCGAATTTTTTTTCATTTACATCGCTTGTTTTGGTTACCGATGCAAATTGGGAGATTTATGTGATCGTTTTTGTAGTAGTGGTTGTCTGAGTCGGGACACGATAGGAACCGTCAATTTTCCGAATGAGATACCGTTGGGACCACAGATCATCCCATGGAACTGTCCCCACCACCACCACCAATAATAATAATAGTAGTAATAATAATAATAATAATAATAATAATAATAATCCCTACTTTTATTCGTAGCTTTGGTGGTTCAAAGGTGGTGTACATTAAAAATCCCAGGAACCCCAAGATAGAAGTTCTATTTTCTTTTACTTTCATCGTCCTTATTTTGATTACAAAAATGATAATTACGATGTAAAATCTCGTAGTTTTTTTAAATCATTTTATTTACAAACTGATATATCAATAAGAAAAAAAATTACATATTAAAAATCTACGTTCAAAGTTTTACAAAATAAGATGTAACAAGAATATTATTTTATCAAATAATCAATAAAAACACACAAATAAACAAAAGTTATTGAGAGAATAGAGAAAATATAATTGTAATCAAAATGAGGACGAAGGGGTGTGGCCTTGTATGGATGTTGGCTGTCAGCTGTTGGATATTTGTATAGGTTATTATAAATAGCTGTTTAATTTGGCTGGTTTGACCGGCAGGATGAGTTGGCTGATCGTTAAAAATGTTTGGTAAAATTAGTTGTTTTTATATGTGTGTGTCGATATATATATATATATATAAAATTCTGTTTACAAGATAAGGTTTGGTCGACTTTATTTTCAATTCAATTTATTTGATTGTAGGTGTAAAATAAAAAAATAAAATTTATATATTTAAAAATTACATCAAAAATTCTACAAAACAAGTGGTGACAAAACTAAATTATTTTATCAAATACCTAATGAAAATAGGTAAAGAAAGTGATTGAAATTTGACCATGTAAAAAGTAAGTGGGAAGAACATTTTAGGACGGAGGGAGTAGACACACACACACACACGATATTTGTTTTTTATTTTTGTACATGTAGAAATTAAATCGTTAATATGTGGAGTATGAAATTTCATTTTCACATAATTCATAAGAAATACTCCGTACAACTTTTAAATAATTTTTACTTTTGATTTTCTCATATCTTTTTTTTGAAAATCTAATTTTTTTTTTAAATTTTTGAATTTTTTTAAATATTATTTTTATATCTGTTTGCATATACTATAAAATATATTTCAAGAAAAATTATTTAAAAAAATAATTTTTCTAAAAGCCAAGTGAAAAAACCATTAGCCAAACAATGGTTTTGGCGGTTCGATAAGTCAAATTAAACAAGCCAAAGTCAGTCAAAAATGCCAAAATTAAAACTGTAATACTCTCTATGATCCAATTTAAATTGTCATTTTTGGCTTTCGATGCAAGTTTTAAAACTGGTATTTTCATTAAACAATTTAAATTGGCTAAAGTTATTTTCAAATTATAACTTTGACTAAAGTTATTTTCATTTGAAAACTGGTATTTTCATTAAAACTGGTATTTTCAAGCCAAGTGTAATACTCTCTATGATCCAATTTAAATTGTCTCTTTCGATGCAATGCTTGACTAAAGTTATTTTCAAATTATTTATTTGAAAAATGGTGTAAAATTAAAACTAAAAATTACTTATTTAAAAAACTACATCAAAAGATTTACAAAACTAATAGTAACATGACCGTATTATTTTATAAAATGACTAACAAAAATATGGAAAGAAAGTGAATGAAGTTTAACTTTACAAATTGTAAACAAGGAATTTAGTTTGGGACAAAGGGAGCACCAATTATGGAGCAATACGGAGTATATTTATTTTTTTACTTCCCAACAAATTTGGGTTATATAAAAAAGAAAAGCTTATGTGATACTCTTATCGTCCCAAATTGAATTGCATGTTTACAATTTACATGGATAAACTTTATTCACTTTTTTCCCTATTTTTGTTAGTTAATTCATAAGATAATGTAGTCATGCATGTCCTAACTAATTTTGTAGATATTTTAATGTACTCCCTCCGTTTTTTAAAAGTGTTCCTATTTTGACTTTTTGTAAAAATAAGGAAGTGTTAAATTGTAGTTGACTTCCAATTTTGCATTTGATGTAATGGGTAAAAGTAAGATGTGATGGATTGATTATTAGAAAAAAAGTATGATGTGATAGGTAGGGTATGAAAAAGTAAGGGTAAAAGTGGTTTTTTAAAAAAAAGTGGAAGTGTTTTGTTGGAAGTAAAAAAAATGAAAGAGGAGGAGTTTTTGAAAACGGAGGGAGTAGTTTATTTTAATATGTAACTTTTTTTTTAAATTCTACATCATTTTTCACATTAAATGATTTTAAAAAAAATTCAATCAGACATCGTAAACCGAAATAGACGATTTAAGTTGAGACGGAGAAAGTAAAATATTTGAACTAAGCCATTTCTTAATTCGGCCATGTTCATGTGACATTGGTCACAAATGTTATGTTATGGCATTCGCTCCAATAGGGCAGTTCTGTCAAAAAATAAGTTATTCATACCCCTTACCTCCACTCTCCTCACTCACCCTTTGGTCCCCCCTCCCTTCATAACCGGAGAGGGTCAGAAGGGTGAATGGTAGAGTCGGGATTAGAGAATATGAATTATTGAATTTTCAAATAAAACATCGGATCAACTTCAGATAAGCTTATGACATTGGTGAATATTATTATTTCAATATTTTTTGTAGTGTTAGGTCAAAATATAAAAAGAGAAATATGTAAAACATCGGATCAACTTCAGATAATCTGGTATGCATCAATTCGAATTTCAAATACAGTGCACGGCGTTATATTTCACTCGTAGTATTCACGTCACGTTAGTTAACTTATGTCAAAATGTACCCCCATTATTTTGATGTTAACAATTCAGTGCTGTTTGAATAAAAATTGGTAACTCCATTTCTGCGTACTTCTTCCGTCCCAAAATATTCTTCACATTTAACTTTTCTTGTTCAAAGTTTACTAATTTTTATTTCAATATGTGGAAAAAATACATTGTATTATGATAATTCATATAAATTTAATATCAATATACTTATATATATTGAAACGCAGCTTCCACATATCATATTTTTTATAAAATATATATCCATATATAAATATAGATATTAATATAGTAACTTCTGATGTAACTTTTAACAACGTAAGGTGTATTGTTTATTTTGAAACAAATTTGTAAAAAGATAATCATTTTAAAAAGATGAAATTTTATACATTCTTTTAGGGCATGTTTGGTTGGAAGGGAGGGAAGGAGTTCTAAACCTCTCCCTTTGTTTGGTTTAAAAATATGAAGGAGAGGGATCCAAAATTTTAGCTTCAATTCTATCTCATCCCCTCCAAATCTGACGGAATCTCCTTCATGTCTTTCACTTCTTCTTCCGTCAGTTTTTTCATCACCTTGCCATCAAACAAATACTCCGTAATATAAAATACAATACAATAAAGATAATAAAACAAAAATGAATGAATAAATAATTGAATAAATAAATAAATAAATATTCCCTCCGTCCCATGAAACATGAGATGTTTTGCTTTTTGAAGAGATTTAAGAAAGTGTATTTTGGTATTGAATTTCCAAAAATGTTCTTTGATGTGATGGGTAAAAGTAGGATTTGATGTGTAAATTATTAGTAAAAAGGTATGATGTAGTAGGTAGGGTATGAAAAAGTAAGGGGTAAAAGTGACTTTTTAATAGAAACGAGAATTGTTTTATGGGACGGATTAAAAAAGAAAGGAAAAAGGTTTTATGGGACGGAGGGAGTATAAAATAAAATAAATCGTTATAATACAACAAACAAAAGTTAATAATAACAAAAAAATGTACCAAAGCTTGACCGTCATTTGATACCCCGTTGCCACCCCGCCGAGTCTCGTTCATCAACAACGCAGCAACTACTTCATCAAATTTTAAGGTCTCTTTTCCAAACAAAAGCGTGGTCACGATGTTGTCAAAAGATGAATGCAATGAAGCCAACAAAAGCAACGCCTTGTCCTCCTCTTCAATCTTCACATCAATGGATTCCAACTCTATTGTAATCTTGTTGAATTCATCCAAGTGTCCATTAAAGTTAGCTTCCCCCGCCATTTGGAGACCAAACAATCGTTTCTTCAAGTATAGCCTACTTGTCAACGATTTCGACTTGTACCGGCTCTCCAGCTTGTCCCAAATATCCACCGGGTCCGTCAAACCGAGAACCTCCCGAAAAGTATTATTTGCAAGGCATAGGCATATTGTACTTGTAACACCCTAATCCGTCCAGGTTTACAACCCTTTCCGAACTAAAGTATTAACTTGGTAATCGTATAATTTAAAACATTTCAAATAACTTTATTCATCATAAATGAAATTTCAAACATAATTGTAGTAAATACGGAGTGTTTAATGCGGAAGCGATTTTTAAACAGGATTCATAATAACATAATCATTTATTTTCTCAATAAATCCACCACGACTGTCTCGCCCCTTCCGCTGCCAAGAACATGCCATTCACTCATTCTGTCTACCTGCGTGTAGCAAATAAAACATACTACACGCTCAGCGATGAAGCTGAGTAAGCATATCTAAAGCGTCGAACATCCAAATAAATTGAATCTCAATTCATAATCAACCATTCGATATCATGCACACAGTATATGATTCAAACATTCATGATATTCTCAATATTTTATTCCAAGTCATTTGATATTCAATATCTCAACCATGCTCTTAAATTATTCTTAATCTAAGGCCAATTCATTTTATAACAAGCTCTTAGCTATTCCTAGTCTAAGGCATCATTTCTAACCAGGCCCTTAAACTATAAATAGTTGAATGCAGAACACAAGAATCGATAATCCACCCTATGGGTCATGTGGATTACGTACCAACCGAACAATGATTTGTCGGGTGGGTGATATCCGGTCTGGATCCCGTACGTACGTTTTAACCCGAAATATGAATTGGTCAAGTAGGTATATCTTAGAGTTCTTCTAGATATCCTTAA